TATACATGATCTATGTGTGTGGAGGTCATTCAGTATGTGACACTGCAGACATGGTGTACACATAATCTATGTGTGTGGAGGTCATTCAGTATGTGACACTGCAGACATGGTGTACACATAATCTATGTGTGTGGAAGTCATTCAGTATGTGACACTGCAGACATGGTGTACACATGATCTATGTGTGTGGAGGTCATTCAGTATGTGACACTGCAGACATGGTGTACACATAATCTATGTGTGTGGAAGTCATTCAGTATGTGACACTGCAGACATGGTGTATACATGATCTATGTGTGTGGAGGTCATTCAGTATGTGACACTGCAGACATGGTGCATAGATGATCTATGCGTGTGGAGGTCATTCAGTATGTGACACTGTAGACATGGTGCACACATGATCTATGTGTGTGGAGGTCATTCAGTATGTGACACTGTAGACATGGTGCACACATGATCTATGACAGCAGGGCTAACAAAAATGCTACACGTTTTTTATTGTGATTTATAAATTGACTTACATTGAATTTGTATCCTTGAACTATTTTAGGTGGTGGGTTGTCCATATCGTAGTGAGTCTGGTTGTACTTATTCCACTCAAATCCCTGTAAAATCACAAATGTAGTTATTCAACTGTCTCACTATTTATCATATCTTTGATTTAAAGTTGTAGTATCAGATATATATATATATTTGTTGTTGTCTTTGATGTATTGAGTAGCCTATGTCATATACCAAACTTGCAAAATATCCAAACATTAGCAATAGGCCTAATATTATCAAGTATTAATGTAGATTTGTCTTTTCGCATTTGATGACATCACCAAGTCCACTGAATTGCACATTAAACTGATGTCTTTAATGTGGCCTACTTAATTACTAAGAATTCTATGGAAATTGTCTAACAATGAACATTTCATTACGTTCTAGGTTACCGGTAGTTGTGTTGACTGTTCTAAAGTAGGATTCAAAATAGCATTGCATGTAAGGATTTTACATATTCAATAAATAAAAAACACATCAGTCAGGTTTAGACACGGATAACTCTTTTCACTACACACATTACAAATTTTAAATAAGTCTCAACAAATACAGCTTTATAGTAATGCGATCCCTTCAACCTTTTCACCACCAGACTCGCCCACATTTTTTTGCACTTTTTTCTTTATATTCTTCAATATTTCTGGCAATGAACCCGAATTTTAGAGCCAACAAACAAAATTTGAGTCAATTTTCAGGTTTTATTCAAAAAATTTGGCTATTTTTTTGTCCCTTCGTAAGGAAAGTGCAGACTATAAACAGAACTATTTTGTGAAATTGTGATGGAAAGAGGGAACTGGTAGTGAAAGGGTTAAAACATGGAAAAAATTTATCACAGTAAATCATTCACCGAACACAATTTTGAGAAATGAAGTAATGTTTCGGCCATAGTAAACTATTCAAAAAATGCATTTTTGATCAATTTTTGAAGTCTTTTTGTGAAAAACAGAGTTCATTGACCATACATTTTACTTTCAGAATTTTGAACATTACAGTAAAACAACTCTTCTTGATGGGTTTTAATTATTTGTTTAAGTAGAAAACTATTGTAAAATACTTTATTTTAGCTGGAATTAATTTTCGCTGAAAAGGCTATTTGGGTGTTTTGTATAGAATTTACTTTCACTGAATGTTGATGAGTTGAATGTGAAATATAGGGAAAAAGTTATATTCGCTAGATTTTATTTTCGCTGAATCATTCCTTCAGAGAAAATAGCTAAAATAAATTCTAAGCGAAATTAAAGTGTTTTACAGTACCTCAAGTTTCAACATAGTGACAGTGACATTGTTATAATATGTAATACCGATACTGTATATATTGCAGCTAATTTCTAGCAGAGCCACCATAAACCATAAATTTCAAAACATACAATAAAGTACTCATTCTATGTAACCCAAAGGATCATTTCACAGTGATATCAATGTCAACACATAAAACAGTCACCTACCGTATGAACTCTGTTAAAATATCTTGGTTTTCTTGGTCTGTATTTATCAGACCATAAATATAATTTATCTGAAGGGACTTCCACAGCAAATGTAGCTTCATCTCGTCCCATTCCTTCACGTGCTTTTTTCTCAAATTCAGCTTCAGCAGTGTCCTGTGTCAAATAAGAATACAAAATGTCAGATATTAAATTTATTTATCAACAGTTTAATCCTTTGAGCGCCACAATTTTTTCTGACCAATTTCAGTGCAATTTTTTAAAAACATTTTTATGTGTTTTTCTATAATTTCTTTAATTTTAGACCAAATGGACATAATATTTACTGATCAACAAATTTGAAAAAAATATGAAAAAGATTATGCAGTTTTACCTTGTAAATTTTGACTAAAGTCAACTTTGGCAAATGATCAGGTTGTGTGGCTCAGCTTTTTACTCTAGCTCTAGAGTATGTTGTATTATACCAGTGGGTTGTCCTCAAGTTCTCAAAAGTTGGCCAAAAATTAGTATTTGATTGGAAGGGGGGTCAAGGTATTTTGTCTAGGTGGCAAAATTAATGTTTCTGGTGTTGAAAAAAAAAATTTTTTATATTTTGTTATGTTTTCAGCCCATCAAAAATATCCTTCTTTCATGTGCGGGAGAGAAGGGGTTAGATCCTATGCACAATACCATTTATTTTTGGCAAAATTTTCCAATTTGAGAACACCCTTAAGCATGGTGACTAATTTGCATATACATTTTTGACAAAATAAACATTTAACACACCAATAACCTTCATTGTTTCCTTGAAAGTTAAAGCATTACATTTTAGTGACCAAATATCATAAAACTAAAATGACTTTAGAAGAACACTGAAACAAAACATGGTAAAATAGCTGTACTTAAAAGACCAGGGAAGAATACTGGACATGAGGGTTATAGCCAGAAAAATGCCTGTGAAAAATCTTTATCGGAATGAAAAATAGCAGTTGCTGGGATGTAGTCATAGATATATAGTCATTTTTTATTGATTATTTATGGTTATTTTATAATTTATGGGTCATTTTCAATGGATATTGGACATAATTTTAAAGATTTTGCCTGTCAAATGAAACTTTGTATCTGGAGTGCCTATCTAAAATTACAGGTAGACAAGGTGGCTGGATAATAGCCTGCTTGACATACTTCTAGGGGACAACATACATGCAAATTAAACATATTGTCATTTATTCCAGCATGCAACAATATCTATCAAAATAAATGAAATCATATTTCATAGGCAGGTGGTCTTTAAATAAAGGTTGATTTATTCAACTCAGTTTAAGGGTCAATTTGTCAACAGGTATTTCATCCTTTGATGCTAGATATTTTTCCCATCAATAATTCAGTGTTAATTTTTACACATTTTACAAAATCATCCAAAAATTTCCACATAGATTTAAATAATACATACAGCATCTGATATTGGCTTTCAGATTTTGATAAAAAGGATTGTCAAGCAGACTGTACAGAAATATTTGTGGATGATGTAAATAGTTGACAACCGGGGTCAAAGGGTTAGGGGTCAAAAGGTTAAAGATGAAGAATAAATAAAAATATGCAAAATGTCACTGAAGACGACTGGAGTAAAACATGTAATTGTCTTCCACCATTTTATTCTTTATACAAAGGGA